ATAATTCGCCACTGCGGCTGCCGTTATGGCCAGAGGTCTTTATCGATGGAGTGCGGCTTAAACTTGAAATGCATTTGGCAGGTGGAAAGTGGCCGCCAGCCAGATCAATGCCCCTCGATTTATCTGCACATTTTCGCAGTGCCTAACTACCAGCCATTCTTGCCCAACAACTGATTTGTATGGTTTCCATTTTTATTTGCAGGGGAGGCGGAAAAAGTCAAATCGTTGATCAGATTGCGGGCGGAACTGTCGCCTTTGTTCACGGGCAAGCGAAATGCCTCGAAATATGCCTGGGCGTAAGTGATCATTAATCCCATTGCATAACTCCTGTTTTATCCTGACTTCTAATCCTTAGCGTGGTGGAACGGGAGCTCAATGTGCCGCTGCCGCTTTCGAAGATCATTAAGAAGTGGAACAATCTGCTGCAGGAGTACAAGGCCATCAAGATGTCCGAGGAGCCGAAGCGGCGTGAGTGGCCCTTCTTCACCCTGATGGACGTGTACTTCAGCGACCAGGTGAACGATCCCTCACTGCGTCTCTTCTCGTCCACAAAGACGCTCAAGGAGACCCTGGACGACAGCGTCTTCGAGGATGATCCAATCATCGCCTCGGCCATTGCGGCGGCCACCAGTGGGGCCTACATGGACATTGATGAGCTCATTCGGCGGCAGAAGGAGCGTGCCGCCCTGGCCGCCGAGCGGAAGTTGGCTGCCGCTGCCAGTGGCGGCGGTGGCGACTACAAATTCGAGCTGAAGCCCATGCTCTCGAACAGCAAGTTCAATAGCAACAGCGAGATGGCCAAGCTGTCCAAGAGCGTCGACGACCTCTCCATGCAGCAGTACAAGATCAAGCAAGAGCTAATGCGCCAGCGGGAACAGGAGCAGCAGGAGAACATGGTCAAGATCAAGCAGCACGCACGCCAGCAGCAGCAGCAGCAGCAACAGCAGCATCACCAGCAGCAGCAGCAACACCACCAGGCCCAGCAGCAGCAGCGATTCCTGGGCCACCAGCAGGCGCTGTCGCCGCATCCACATCGTTTGTCGTCCTCGTCGACGCCACCAGCTTTGCAGCACGCGCTGCAGCAGCAGCAACAGCACATGCTGCAGCAGCACCAGCTGCAGCAACAGCTGCAGCAGCAGCAGCAGCAACACCAACAGCAGTTGCAGCAGCAGCAGCAACAGCACCACCAACTCGCTCATCCCCACCAGCCGCACACACCGCGCCCCAGTTCGCCACCCACCACGGCGCAGCAGATCCACATCACGGCCACCCAGCACCAGGCCGCCCAGCAGCAGCTCCACCAGCAGCAGCAGCAGCCGTCGCACAAGCAGCAGCAATCCTACGCCGATCCCAACACCATCGACCAGTACCTGTTGTCGTGGAACAACTTCCATGGGAACATGTGCCGCGGCTTCCACTCCCTGCAGAAGGACGAGAAGATGGTGGACGTCACCATCGCGGCCGGCGGCAAGATATTTAAGGCCCACAAACTGGTAAACTAGCGGCTCAGCGCCAGGAACTCCCGTACTCATGCATCGCACCCTCTTTTTGTTTTTGGTCCTTTTCGTTGCAGGTCCTGTCCGTTTGCAGTCCCTACTTCCAGCAGATCTTCCTGGAGAACCCATCGAGTCACCCCATCCTGTTGATGGCCGACGTGGAGGCCAGCCACATGGCCGGTCTGCTGGACTTCATGTACAGTGGCCAGGTGAACGTCAAGTACGAGGATCTGCCCGTTTTCCTGAAGGTCGCCGAGGCCATGAAAATCAAGGGGCTGCACACAGAGGTGGGTTTTCTTCAGGTTGAATCACTGACGATGGGGGGACTCCATAAGGCATAGAGTGTAGAAAAGAAAGAAAGACCACTTAGAATTACATTGATGATACTACTTTATAATACTAATACTAATAATGTAATACTAAAAAATGTAGTTCAAAAATGCAGTAATACTATTAAAAGTGTAGTTCAAGGATGGGCAACTTTTTATTTTAGACAAGAGTATTTGAGAGTTTCTGAAATGTTCAAAGGAATTAAACACTATTAGCGGCATAAATGCAAATATCAAGTTACCGCTTAGGGTGCTATGAACTTTTCTCCAAGTGTAACCTTCCGCTTTCACTTGCAGAAGAACCTGGACAGCGATGCCAGCGACATAAGCTCGCCGCACGAGAGCGACGGCACCGAGTGTCGTTACGAGCGCGGAACGCACAGCGTGAACATCACCAGCGGCCATGCCGCCGGCTATGGAGGAGTACCGCCCCCGCAGCAGCCCTCGCCGTCGCCTTCGCTCAATGGACCCAACCGCTGCCCGACGCCCCTTTCCAGCGGTGGCTCCGGCAATCCCAACTACGCGGGCTTCCGGGAGCACATCAAGTCGAAGGCCACGCTGGCCGAGACCTTCATGAAGAATCTCAACAGGAACAACAACAACAACAGCAGCAGCAACAACTACAACCACTTGGGCGGCAGCAACGGCAGCCTCAACCTGACGGAGGCGGAGAGCAACTCCTTTGCCATCCTGCAGGCGAACAGCAAGAAGATGCTGGACTCGGCGCGCAAGCAGCACAAGTATCTGGCCAAGCGCAAGATCCTGATGCACTACAACACGGAGCTGGGTGGCGAAAAGCGGCTGAAGGAGATGGAGCGGGAGCGATATCCGAGTGCCGAGCAGCATGACGACGCCTTGAACAACAACCACAGGCACGCCCAGGACAACATTATGGAGCCCATCATTACGACCATTGTGCCACAGACGCCGCCACCATCCACGCACAACAACAACTTCAAGATCCGCCTGGTGGAGAGCCATCACCTGACCAACAGCAACAGCAGCAGCAACAACAACCAGAATCAGAATCAGAGCAACAGCAACAACAACAACAGCAGCAGCAGTCCGCAATCCAGCAGCTGCAACAACGACAACGACGAGGAGGCACTGAATCTGGTCCAGATACCCAACGCCAACGGGGGCAGCAGGAACAGGGAGGCGACGCCCACATGTGCGACTCCCACGCCCGACATTCAGCTGATCAAGCGGGAAGTGGAGACGGAGCTGCCGTCGGCGGAGAACCTTAATGCCAACAACGGACACGACGACGAGATGGCTGGAGCCGGATATGATCGCAAGTACGATGACAACAACAACAACCGCGGACTGGACATGGAAACGGACTCGAACAACAACAACAGCAAGCCGGGAGGCGACACTAACAATGGGATAGCACTGGCGTTGGGCAAGCACAGGCTGCTGAGTGCGATCAACAGGAGCATGGAGCAGGAGCACCCCGAGCAGAACCAGCAGGATCAGGAGGCCGATCATGGCGGGAACAACTGCAACAGCGACGGCGACGGCGACGACGACAACAACAACAACAGCAACAATCACAGCCAGCACCTGGACCTGAGCACCATCAAGAACATAGCCACGGCGGAGATCCTGTGCGGACTAAAGAGCAAGGTGCTCAAGCTGGAGGAGGAGCAGCGCGAGCGGGAGCGCGAGAGGGAGCGGGAACGGGAAGCCTGTCGCAGCCTCAGCGAGATCAAGAATGCGGAGTGATCGATCCCCCTGATCGATAGCTTGATAGGGTGGAAACCACACTGCCCAGACGGATAATTATGCATTTGATTAAAACCAGCATAGAGCGGACTCAGTGTAGCCGCCTCTGTGCTTGCTAATTATAGTTATTTATTATACCACTTAATATCGTTAATGTAATTGTAATCGTTAATGACCTGACCCCACATGAACATTGGTTAGTTTGGTAGGCCTAGCATTCGCCCAGCACACCATTTAGAATCCCTAGCAGCTAAGACTCACGAATCATTAACGTATCGTATCGTATCGTATCGTATTGTATCGTATCTTATCGTATGGTATCAGATCGCTGATTACCGATCGAATTACAAACCTAATATTAGCACTTTGGAAATTGGCCCTGTTGCAATACGAATTAAGCCCATGTTAAACATATTGATATCGTTTAATAATGTATGTGTAGAGCAGTATGTTGTAGAATAATACGCCCCCCCCCGGCCGCACTTTCGACTTTGATTTTCAGCTCTTACATTATTAATACACACACATATCGTACTACGAATGTATCTCAACACCAACCACACCAATCACAATGCATATGAACACCCCCATACATACATACATTGCCCCACATACCGACGAGTATGGTAACGACCATTCGGCCCCGACCATCTGACCATGCAACACTGGAACGGGCCGTCATCTGCAAAGGATCAGAAAGAAAGGAACAATATATGTATCTCGTTTTTAGTTTTAACTTGCCAGACCTTCTCAATGAGCACTCAGATAACTCGGTTACATGCGATCGTATTCAGCTCGGCGCTCAACTTTCACCCAGAAGTGGTTCCGGATCTTGTTAATTGTTGTATGTACATGCCCATGTGCCTGGAACCCAGCCCCAAGCCCCGAGCCCCAAGTCCCCAAAAAGAAATATACGCACGACTTTTGGGCCCACGAGCCCCTCTCAACTGCAGATCAACCAGAATTAGCAAGGCACAGTGTAATTCGTACAATATTTATTCAGCTCCTTTACATTAAAAACAAAGCTTGTGTAATGTTTTTGCTGTTGAACATTATTTTATTGTAAATGAATTAATGAATGAATAAAGAACCCAACACATTCAAAATCGTCGCTTGCGTTGGAAATTTCGTTTGACATATTGCAAAAGTAAGTAGTTGGCAACCTGACAACCTGTACTATAAACTAAAAGAATACCTAATAGTTCAACCTATTAACAATCGTCTATAGCCAATGACATCAGCAAGTGATAACAATATCTAGGATCATCTGATCCTTGCTTCGGCGGAAAGTTCAAGGACCCGAAGTGCTGAGTTGCACTGAAAAAATGTGCTTAGATGTATAGCTTAGACTCTCCTGTACCTCTCACCAACACGCGCACAACAGACAGGCTCGCGTGCTCACTCCATCTCTCCTCTCACTTTCTCCCTCTCTGGCCGACATCCCTTACTCGACTCGGCGAGAGTCAGTGAAAGAGCGCTCGCCGAAGAGAGTGGTTCAGTGCGCTCATCGCGTCGGCGCAGAGCGGCGGAAAGTGAAATGGAAGGAGCAAGGACGAAATACATTTTGTGTATTTTCGGCGCTCGGCGGTCGGGGGCGCGCCGTTTTTTGCCCTTTTTTCGCGCGCGCCCGTTGTTGTAATTGAAAACTACACCGCGGCACGAAGGCGGCCCGAAGTTCTGCCCAAATCTCGCACTCACACCGGCGCAGTCGGGCGCACTCGGGCGCAGGCATACACACACACGCACGCCGGCACGAAGGACGAGCGAAAGGACGAAGCCGAGAAGCAAACGAGCACCGCCGCCGCGGCAGTTCTCTGTTCTCCGCTCTGTGTGTGGTTGTAAAAAGGCGAAAACGTCACGGGAAAAACCGGTTAATAAATTATTGCTAATCGAATGGTAAAATGCACACTAAATATGTTTATAAATAAATGCGAATGCTTTGAAATCGAACTAATTGCACGGCCCCGAAAAGTGTGCATAGATAAATGTCGTATGAAGCGCCCATGAGCAGTGAAAATTCGCAGTGAAAAGCGAAGCGGTGAAAATTTCCAACGCCACAACGTACGCTCGCTGGCTTTCCTTTTTTTTCCTACGCAGTTCATTGTTTTGCGGCCATATAAACTGCGCAAAAGGCACAGGATGCGTGGAGCGGATGTGAAAAGTTGATACACTTCCAAGCCACAAGCGATACGCTTGTGTCCGCAGGATACGAGGTACAGCAGTAGCCGGAACCTATCGAGATGCCAGCATTAAGGACGAGCTCCAAGGGCATGGTGTCCAGAGGAGCACCCTAGCGAACCGGGAGATCCTGCCTCGAAACTTCTAAATTACCAGCGCATTAAGTATATCTCGCCCTTGGGCGTTACTCCCAAAAAAAAGTATTCACAAATAGCCAGGATATATGCTCCTGAAGGTGAAGACTGCAAAAGTGGCTGCGTCGGCGGCCGTCGCCCTGAAACAGGAACAAAGCCGAAGGATCAAGGAGCGGGAGTGGCTGAACAACAACAATCAGCCCTGGCCATAAATGAATTTTACGTATTTTGGTATACACACTACAAACGCCGACTAGCGCCAGGACCAAAGCCCCAGGACGACGGCTTCGAGTTTGAGTTCCATTTCGAGGATGACGATGATGATGATTATGAGCAAAGGCCAGAGGGAAATGGAAATGGAAATGGAAAAGGAATAGGAATAGAAATAGGCAAAGTAAAAGGAAAAGGCAAAGGCAAAGGCGAAGGAAAGGCAAGGGTGGGTGGCTCTAGACCAAGTCCGTCTGCGATTGTACGAGTAGTAAAACACACACAGGCACAGCAGATGGCGTATAGAGAAAGAGTGCCAACAGGAAGAGGGAGAGGAGAGTGTGTCGGTGTGTCTGTGTGTGAGTGCGGGAGAGAGGAGCATAAGGGATGGTCGTCGCTTACTTTTCATACACATTTCTGTGTATTGTACTAGTCGACTGCAAAAACTGCAGCGGGCGGAGGGTGCGGATGGTACGGAGGGGGAGGAGGAAGGGGAAGAGTAAAGGAGCGGCAACAACAAACCGAGACTAGCCACAAATCAATCAGCCGACAGGGAAACACCCTACACAGCGAAAAAAAAATGTTCGTTCGAATGCTTTTTAATCGGTGATCTCTAAAATGGACTTATTCAAATTCAAATTATCCTAGTATATTATGTAAAAATGTTTTTGCATTTATGAAACAAATGAAGATTTTTTAATTCATTTTATATTACTCCAATTCAATTCATACATTTTCGTTACGGTCAAAAAACTTTTTTGTAAGGCTTTTGCATTCATACCTTTATTTACTGCTTTTAGATATGGGCCATTTAGTATAAATAATCGTATTTATTATAGAGCCCTACTTTGGCCTTCCGAAAATATAATTTCACCGCGCTTGTCTCAGTGCGCATTTAAACTCAATTACCGGAGATCCTTACTAGCAAAGAATGGGGTTAGACCAGTCAGCAGTCCTTCCCCTAAATGTCTCGAAATGTATCTAAAATCGAATATGCCTTGGGCCGCAGCTACTCAAATTCAATTTCGAAAAATTCGTCCTTTTTGGACGGAGTGGTAGTGGTGGTTGTTGTTCCCACCGCCGCCTGATCCTGAGTCCTGTGTCCTGAGACCTGGGAAGGGCATGTTAAGGGTGAACCGGCCGCACTCACGCACACACACACACGTGTGTATGTACACACATATAAAGCGGCCAGACGGACGTACAGACAGCGGCGGGAAGCACAGTTAGACTGGATGGCAGACGATTGAGCAGCGGCAGAGGGCGGTGGTCGCCGTCGCAGTCGACGCCGGCGTACGCACACACACTTATGCAAATGCACTGGCACATCCTGCGATGCATACACATGTGCACATATCTCTGTATGTATGTATGCAACATGCAACGAATTTCGGCTACTTAACCTACAGAACAAAGGAGGATACAGAAAAAATGAAACGTAAGGAAGTCGGGCTGGGACGGATAAGCCTGCGCAAGGCGCGCAAAAGGACACGCGCACACACAGCCACAGTCACCCAGACACGCACACACTCTCAAGACTAATTTAATCCTCTGGCTCAGTTCAGAATTCAGTTCCAGTTCCCTCGGCAACCGAACCGCCCCACTCAGACGAATTATACGAGAGTCCGGAAATGGGAAAACTACAGGATACAACCAACCCACACCAGCACACACACACGCACACAGATTCTCTCGCTCGTGCACTCACACGTACACACACAAACGCACGAAAGCCGCTTAACGTTACGTTAGTTACTTTACGCTGCGCATTTAGCGGCATGTAAATGGCGTTATTACGCCCTAAACGCCTTACGTCGTCGCCGGTTACGTGAATTACGTCGGTTTCCTTTGAAATAATACCCTCCTGTGGGTGTGTGCGGTGTGTGACGGTGTGTGTGTGTCGACGTTACCTCGTATCTTACTTTCAATGTCATCAAAAAGGGCTGAAGAAAGATATTTCTGCATTTGAATCGTATCACAGCCAGCTTTGATGGGCATTGCAATGAGCATCGATGGCAAGTGTGACCTGTGACCTGTGACCTGGGACCCCGCTCGATGCGAATGTCTACGTGTGCGATAACGATTGGGGATAACGATTGGATGCTAAGCCAACAAGTGTTCGTGATCCAAGACACAATTCTTACGTAACTCCTCAAAGGGTTGTGAAATGTCGACTATTATCTACTCATATCACAGCCATTTTGATGAGTTTCGTGCGAATTTAAAAAGCGGGTTAAGAAAACATATTTCAAAAGCGATTGAACAACGTCTTTCTTATACCATGTCGTTAAAATGTTTGTGAACTTATGTATTCGCAATCATATCACAGCCATTTTGACGAGTTTGGGTAAAGAAATCTCAACAATGAGCGCCACTTATGAGTTACTTGCAGATCCACTTTGCCATCTTGCATTTGTCGACGCCCAATACGCCCAATAACCATCTGAAAGTCGGAAAACGGAATAAGGATACACAAAAGTTTTAGATGTTTTGTTTTTTTTTTGTTTTGTTGTTTTTTTGTAGTTTTTGTTTTTATTTAAATTTATAATAATTGTTATTTTTATATTCTTTTTTCATTTAAGGAAACTTGAAGGTTTACAAAACAAAACAGACCACAACAGATGCTTCTAGATCATACGAAATATAACCAAACCGATTTATGATGGGCAAAGGAGTAATACGGATTGTTTTCGTTAATTTTCATTAATTTGGGGACAACGGAGGCACTAAAACCCAAAGGAAGCCTGACTCAAGCTCCTGCTCTTACATTAGCCTCTGCCTGTAAAAGTAGCAAGGAAATTTCTTCGAGCAACATCAAAACAATCATTCATATCGATGTCATTACATTTCTGGTAAATGCTAGCGAAAGAAGTGTAAAAGAGGCGGAGAAGTGGCAACAAAATTCAATTTAAACAAAAATTAATTAGTTCTACCGAATTTCGAAACGAATTAGAAACGAATAAATTTGAAGCTCTCTAAAATCTCACATTCGTTTTTCATTTCCCGCAGGGCAAGCAAAGAGCTTCCATCCAGCCTACAGCTTCGATCTCTTCGAGCTCTTTCCGAACCGCCGAACCGGAGTTCACATTATATGCTAAAGTAAGTTTACAATCGGAATGCTGGATGAAGCGCGGCCCTTTCCTTGCACCGGTGGAAAAACTAACTTGGAATGATGACTTGGGTTTCTGGTGTCTGTCGCTGTCGCTTTGCTTCTGGGGTTTGTGTGTGTGTGTTGGTTGGTTGGGTGTGTGTGTTGGGCATGCAAGTCTGGGATTTTGGCTTTTTGGGGGATGGGGGGAAGCGTGTGTGTCGGTCGAGGTGTGCCGGTCGATTGCCAAAGCGCATAAAACTATAGATAACGGGAGCGCAGAAGTGCATCAAAGAATTATGTTTAAAACAATTTTACAAAATTTCGCTCTTATCTTAGCTCAACGATTATTTGCATCTTCATCTCCTTAAGCTTTTGATTCTACTTCATTTGCGTTTCGGTTTACAATGTGATTGTATCAATTTGGTAGTCAATCGTTTTTGGAATTTTCGCCTCGGCTTACAGGACTTGTGCGGGGCAGGCAACGCTTCCTACAAACGCTCATTGTTCTCGTATTATAATTGATTTGACGGTTGCTTTTAGCTTTCTAAATTATTTTCTTTCTCATTTCTCATATCTCTTTTTGCATTTGCTTTTTATACGTTTGGTGTTTTCAGTGATTCTTTGATTTGATTTGATTTTTTTTTTTTGCTTTGTTTTGTTTTTTGTTTGCTGTTGTTGTGTTTGGCTTCCGTGCGCTGTAGAAGTCTTGCAATTTCAAAAAATTTACTAGTTTCCTTTTGTTTTAATTGTATTTTATAATTTCCTAGTTGTTGTTGGTGTTTTCGGTCTGTGAGAGATGTGCTACAGGATGGGCCGCTCGTGCACATGGCATAAGGATGTGGTTGGATGTGTGAATTGTGGGCGAAAATCGCTTGGAGCGACAACGAAAGCCGCGCGTTTACTCAAAAGGTTGATGAGAATACGGATGCGGATGCTGATGCAGGTGCGGATGCTGATGCGGATGCGGGTGTGGTGAGTGCTTCATGTTGCGTGTTGTGTCTGTATATGTGTAACTGTTTCTTGATGACGGCTGCCCGTACAGCTCCCACTCGCTACGGCGACATTAACAGGGAGGGGCCTCCTGTTCCCCCCGCCTTCCAGCTCGCCACCTTCCCGTGCGCCATTCCCCAGCTGGCGGTGTCTCACTGCGGCTGATGCTGCGGCATCACGATCTGATACTGTTGTTGATTCTGCTGCGGATGCTGCGGCGTCGGCGGCGGGAAATAATGATTGGCTAAGAGCGACGAGGGGTGCAAGCACATCAGCTGGAAAGTGGTACCCTGCGTGGGCGGCGTGAACGCCGGCTGTGGTCCCCCGCCGGCGGGGGAGGGCTGTGGCGGCGGATGGAACTGCTGGTGCGGCTGGCCCGGCGACGGTGTGGTCGACTGTGGCGTCTGTGTCATGAACTGCAACTGTTGCTGGTCCTGGTACACGCGCATCTGCATCGGCGCGTACGTATGTGATTGGAATTGTTGCTGGTGCGGTGCATGGGCGTACTGGATGAATTGCGGTATCGGGCCGGCTGTTATCAACGGCTGACCCGTGGCCGCGGATGCCGATACGTGCATCTGCGATGCGGCCATTGGAGCTGCAAGAGATCAGATAATATTATTAGCGCACAATTTCCAGTTTCTTATGGTTATACATTCGTCCTTCTTATACATACATATATACAAAATGCTTGATTATAGAAAAAATGGACTTACGGTAATTACTACGGCGTAGGCGCGGTGGCTGTCCGGCCTGTGGGTGTGTCTGAGGCGGGAATGGGTGCTGCGGCTGCACCACATAGATCGGCTGGTTGGCCGCCGGCGGTACATGTCCTCCCGTGGTTGTGTAAATGTTCGTCATGGGCACAGGCGTCTGTGGGGTGTGTGGGCGCGATGGATTCGGAGTGCTGGGCCCGCGGGGTGTAAATGGCTTGGCTGATGGGTTGAGCACATGCTTCTTAACCACCGGAGTGGTTCCGGTGGCACCTCCAGCAGCGGCGGGCGTTCCTGTGGGCGCCGTTGCGGAATTGCTCGTCGGAGTGGGAGCTGCCGGCGTGGTTTTCTCAGATCCAGCGCTGGCAATAACCCCTGCTGTCGGCGTACTGGCTATGCCCGTAGGTGTGGTGGTGTTGCTGCTTGGTGCCGGCGAGACTTCAGGTTTGGGCGTGGCAAGCTGCTGCGTCTGTTGTTGCTGCGCAACCGGCATGGGCTGTGGCGGAGGCTGCTCCATCAGAACCGGCGAAGTAACAACTACGGGTGAAGTCTGTGGAGGCGGCATTGTATGGTAAATTGGCAGCGGCTGTTGCGATGGATCCTGAAGCAGCTGTGGCGGCGGCTGCTGCACTTGTGTCTGCGACTGGTGCTGCTTCTGCACGTGCTGATGCTGGGTCTCCACCAATTGCTGCTGCTGGGTCTTCTGTTGCATGTGAAGCGGCACATGTTGCTGCTGTGGAGGCGGCGCCTGTTGAGGCTGCTGCTGAGGCACATAGTGTGGCTGTGATAGAGCCGCTTGGTGCAGGTGCGACTGCGGCACTTGGTGCAGGACCACGTGTTGCTGTTGTTGCTGCTGTTGTTGCGGTGGCGAGGCAGATTGCTGCAACGCTCGCTGTTGCTGCTGCTGCACTTGCTGCTGCTGCTGCTGTTGCTGCTGCTGCTGGGGTGGCGAAGTGTTGCTCGGGGCCAGTTGGAAGTCCTGGCCAAACTGTCGCAAATCCTGCATTTGGTTATCGCGCGTGCGCACCTGACGCGTCGGCTGTGTGTTTTGCCCTTGTGGCTGCATGTTCTGATGCTGCTGCTGCTGCTGCTGCTGCGGCGGCGGCTGTTGTTGCTGCTGCTGTTGCTGCTGTGGCCCGGCCGTCTGAAGCGGCGGCGAGTTGCTGTTTTGCCCGGGATGGCCTCCATGGGAGCCGTGCACGGGCTTACCCAGCGACTGAGGTTCACCGCCATAGTTCAGCGACGAGTTGCTCTGAGAGCCCTGGTACTGGCGCATCTGGCGCTGTGGCAGCGGCTTGTTGGTATTGGCGTTCGAATCGCCATTTAGCTTATTTGTGCCGCCCATGTGAGATTGGTTGCGGTACTGAGAAGACCTGCGGATGTACGGATGTTAATATCTGGTAGCTAGATTAAAAAACAGCTTAGATTTACCCATGCATAATTTGCGAGTTACCCTGGTAGGAGTACTGACTCGGCATGCCCATCGACGGCTGGTAGCCGCCCTTGTTCTGACCCACAGAGTTACCGTTGCCGCCCTGCGACACGGAGACGTTGCTGCCACCAGTAGGCACATTGTTGCGCATCACCTTGCCGCCCTGGGGCACAGTCTTGCGCTTTACCATCGAACCGCCGCTATACTTGCTGGACGAGTCCGCGGACACGTTTGCTGAGGGGGCCTGACCCACGAACTTCAGGCCGCCGGCCAGCATAAGTGCTGCCGTCGACTGCGTGGAGCCGCCTTGGCCCGACCCGCCGCCACTTTGCATCATCATGCTGCCATCGCCACGAGTGTCACGATCGCGTCCGCTGCCCTGCGAGGACATGCCAACATGCGATAGCTGCGGTCCGGTGATACTGCGCGTCTGTTTTGTGATGTAGCGGTCGCTACTCATGGTCTCCCTCAACTGGAAGTCACCAGAGCCACGGGGCTTGTTACTGCGATCGCGATCACGGTCCCTGTCCCGATCCTCACGCTCCCTATCCCGATCGTTGCGTTCGCGGTCGCCACGATCTCCGCGTTGATCCTGCTCCGTCGATGGACGCTCCACGGCCGCGAAGAGCGCCTCCTCGTCGCCATTCTCCAAGTCCAGACGATCGCGGCACGTCGGATTATTTTCGATCTCGGCAGCCAGCTTTTCGGCCTTGGCTTCGGCCTCTTTGAATTCGAGGGAATCACCCTTGTCCAGCGGTACCGTGTACGAAGCCAGAGAATCATCAAATGTGGATGTCACACCAAACGTATTCTCATTCTTGCGGAACATCTCGTTGGGATCCCAGCCGTTGGCGGCACTATCCAGTTCTATGTCAATGTCGCCATTAGCGCCAGAATCCCATGGTTCCAATTCCTTTTCGTCCGGACGCGCACCTACAAAATGAAGACTAATAAGTACGTGTTTACAAATTAAATTAGGAATGAGCTTACCGTTGCACTTGTCAGAAATGGCGCCATCCGTCTGAAAAGCGCCTGCGGTGGCGTACTGCGAGTCAAAGTCCTTGGCCACGATGGTCACCACGGTGTCGGCCGGGAATATAATGTTTTTTGGCACCTTGCCCTCCTCCGGCAGATTCTTGGACTTAATGCACGCCGGTAGCTCCAGTGCGATGTCAAAGTTGCCCGAGAATGTGCGGAATACGCCCTCGTAGATATTGCCCGACCGCAGTCGCACCTCCACCACGCTGCCCACCAGCGCCGTGGCCGAGTGCATGAAAAACGTGTTGTTGTAGACGCCCTGGGACACCGGACGCACCGCCCCGCCTCCGTTACCGCCTCCTGCGACTGCCTTGTTGTTAGCGGGCCTTAGGCTGTTATCGTTGGAGTTGTATCTGCGAATAGGCACACGAGACAGGTTAGACCATTCGTTAGTTAGCGTTGCGGTTTGAAGGCAGAAGACCGACTGAAAATGGAAATTCGATTTCATCCAGCTACGGTGGCGATATCGATTCGTTCGCCAACTTTGACCTGACCCAGCATTCCGCAACCCCCGTGAGCAGCCGTGCCAGTTTACGTTGTGTTTGTGTACTTCAGCTTATCTTCTTCAGTTCAAGAAAGATATACTATATGGTTGCTTAAACAAAGACTTTTCGGGGAATCACCA